CCTGCCCATGCAATTGTAACCCCTCTGTACAGTATGTTCACAAATAAAATAAAATAAAATATTTAAAAAAAAAAGAATTCTTGCCAGTCCCCATGTAATTGTAACCCCTCTGTACAGTATTTTCACAATAAAAAAAAAAAAGAATTCTTGCCAGAAGCCAAACTCAAAGAAACAAATGGTGCATGTTTTCTCTCATACGTAGAAGCTAGATCTAAAATAAAAGATCGGGACACCACGCATTATAAAGGCATTCACACACAGTGAGACCAAAGGATACTCTTTGGGGAGGAAAACTCAAGTACAATGTCTATGTGCATCTGACCAAATAAAATAATAGTTATCAAAATGAACTCCAGGAAATGGAAGCAAAGAAGTTTTTTTTTTTCCTTGTTGCTGTTTTTGTTTTCCTTTCTTTTTCTTTTGTTTGTTCATTTATCTTTCTTTGGGAGGCGGGCACAGAAATGGAAGGACAACAATGGAGGACAAAGAGTGAACCAATGCAGCAGGGGTACTCACCATGCTGAAAATGAACTCTACAACTTGTGGGCGGGTTGAGAGGGAAAAACTGGGAGAGGGGCTGGGAAGGTGGCTCAGTGGTAGAGCGCTTGCCTTGCATGCCAGAGACCTTGGGTTCAATTCCTCAGCACCACATAAGCAAAAAGAAAAAAGCCAGAAGTGGTGCTGTGGCTCAAGTGGTAGAGCGCTAGCCTTGAGCTGAAGAGCTGAGGGACAGCGCTCAGGCCCAGAGTTCAGGCCCCACGACAGGACCCAAAAAAAAAAAAAAAAAACTGGGAAAGTGTGAGGGAAGGGGTGATATTGTTCAAAAAATTAATGTACTCATTACCTGCTTATATAATTGTAACCCTTATATATTACCTTTATAATAACAATTATATATATATATATATATATATATATATATACACATATAAACACACAGATACATACACAGGAAGAAAAAAATAAAGGGACACTAGGCTAAAAATAAAAAAAATAAAAACAATTCTTGCCAGGGCTGGTGACTCATTCCTGTAATCCTAGCTCTTCAAGAAGCTGAGATATAAGAATCCAGGTTTGAAGCCAGCCGGCGTAGAAAAGTTTGTGAGACTCTCATTTCCAATCAGAGAGGAGATAGAAGGTGTGGCTCATGCGGTAGAGTGCCAATTGCCTGAATGGAAAAAGTCAAGCGGGAGTACAAGGCTCTGAGTTCAAGCCCTAGCACTAGCACAAACACGCATACATACACACACATACACACATACACACACACACACAATTCTTATATATTGATTATATACTATAATGACATTTGAGTATTTGGTTAAAGAAGGTATTAAAATAAACGAAAATTAATTGCTAGGCCTCTCTATGTGTGTGTCTCTCTCCGGCCTCCAGCAGGCATGGCAGGTACTGGGATGTGGCTTAGTAGTAAAAAAAGACATGAGGCCCTGAGTTCAAATCCTAGGATCACAAAGATAAAGTATACAGTGTAACCCTAATGATAGTTTAGATCTCCTTGGATCTCCAACTCCTGGATTCCAAAACAGTGAAGAAATTTTGTTATTATTTTAACCCATGCATCTTGTACTAAATCATTATGGTATCCCTGAGAAACTTCTGCACTGAGCTACTAGAAAATGCTAACTTGCCTATGCAACTCACATTGCAATTCACAGGTATGACTGCACCAGAGTTTAAGCCCCTGCCAGCCCAGGGCAGTAAGTGGCCACCACCCTCCTTACCTGCTGTCCTGAGGTCTGTCTGCCGTGTGTATCAGGAATAATTTTTAAGGCTATGAAAATCACATCCTAAAATAGAACAGTAAAACCTACTAAAAACTGTTTCAGAATGTGCAGGGGAAGGATACAGAAGAGTCGTATCAGGTATAGATTTGATCAAAGTACATTATATGAGCCAGCACAAGTGACTCATGCCTGTAATCCCAGTTAGTCAGGAGTCTGAGATCTCAGGATCCAGCTTCAAAGCCAACCCAGGCAGGGAAGTCTATGAGACTCTAGTCTCTAGTTAACCACCAAAAGGCAGGAAGTGGAACTGTGGCTCAAGTGGTAGAGTGCCAGCCTTGAGCAAAAAAAAAAAAAAGTTCAGGGACAGTTCCCATGCCCAGAGTTCAATCCCCAAGACCATCCCACAGAAAACAAGCATTTTATATGCACAGATAGAACTATCTCAAAAAAAACCCACAGTACAATTAAACTAATAAAAAATATAACAACAACAAAAAGAATGGTACTTCCAGCACCTGTCATGTCCACGTAGCAACCAAGTGCAGAAAATGTTTAATATGCAGGGGACTCATTACCTCATTCGCTAAAAAGGGCAAATAAGTCCTTTATACAGGTAGTCAATGCCAGGTTCCTGGACTGCCAGCAAAGCCGTTATTGTTCGGCCAAGTGCTCTGAGCTGCTGCTACCCTGCCCTCCATCCTGGCCTTCATCTCACCTTCCAAATGCTCCAGTGCACCCACTGCTCTTTGAGATAAGACGTCTCGCTTCCAAACACCTTTCCCCTATCTCTCCCTAATTAGACGTGACGGCTGCTGGCGAAGGGAACTCCCAAGGGGCTCAGCCTTGTGGCTGAAGGACAACCTTTTAGGGAGCTCACTGCCAGGCCAATTACTGCAGCAGCTAGCAACCTGGACACAAGGAGGGGACACTGACCAGATGATGTCACCTCCCCCCAAGAACAGGGCTCCGCAGACAGGACGAAACCCAGAAGGAAGAAAAGGTCACTGCACTGTCCTCCAGGGGACGGGGGTGGGGGGGGTGGGGATCCCAATAGGATCTAAGCATAGAGGCCTAGTGAATGTGACAGCTTTCCTTACAGCACACGGAAGCCAGGAAGATGACTAGCAGGGAGTTAAACTGAATAAACAAAATGGTCACAACCCAGATTTCAGACAAGAGCAGGGGAAGGGGCTCCTCGGCCATTCTTTCAGAGTTAATGTGTGCTGCTTGCTAGTGGAGTGATATCCAGAGGAGCAGGAAAGAGGGAGGGAGGAAAGGAGGGAGAAGAAGGGAGGGATGGAGGGAGAGAGAGAAAGAGAGAGAGAGAGAGAGAGAGCCACATTAACAGCACTGCTCAGCAGGATTCAGTCATGCCTAAAATATGGAAAACTTGAGTCAATATCAGTGGTGTCCTACAGCAAGAATGCACTGCTGGGGCATCACTGAGTAAACCTGTTCATTCAACATTTATCAATAGCCATGAAAAGAACCTGTACAAAGGTAGAGGTCTCAACTTGCACGCAGGCCTGATGTAAAACCGTACCACTGAAGAAAAAAACAGTAGTTGCACACCTATTATGATAGCTATGATCATCAAGGCAGACAGTAACAAAGCAAACATGTGCAAAACTGGAATCCTCATAAACAGATACAACCAGCAGGGTGCCGGTGGCTCACACTTGTAATCCTAGCTACTCAGGAGACTGATATCTGAGGATCGTGATTCAAAGCCATGCAAAGCAGTAAAGTCTGTGAGATGCTTACCTTCAATTAACCAGCAAAAGGCCAGAAGTGTAGCTGTGCCTCAAGTGGTAGAATGCTAGTCTTGAGCAACAAAGATCAAGGACAGCATGCATGCCTTGAGTACACACATACATACACACACACACACACACACACACACACACACACACACTATGCAACCACTTTGGAAACCTTTGCCCTTCTTTCCTTCTTTTATTGCTTTCTTCTTTCCTTTCTTTCTCCTCTCCTTCCTCCTTTCTAGACAGGATTTCTCTATATATCTCAGGCTGGTCTTGAACTCACGATCCTCCTGATTCGCTGCACTTCCTTTTCTATTTTTTTTGTGGTAGTGGTGGGGCCTGAACTTTGAGCCTGGGCAGTCTTGGGGCTTGAACTCAGAGATATTTATTACTCTACCACTTGAGCCACAGCTCTACTTCAAACTTTTTTTTTTCTTGGAACTTATTGGGAGAGAGTCTCACAGACTTTGCTGCCTGGGTTGGCTTCAAATCAAGATCCTCCAATCTAAATATGCTAAGTCGCTAGAATTACAGGCCAGAGTCAGGCACCAGTGTCCAGCTTCACTGCACTTTCTTAAAAAAATTAACGTAGGCCAGTTCCATACAGTAGAGACTTCACAATAATAACAGCTCATATCCATTGCCAGAATATTGTGACAAGGATACACCAAGACCACTTAGTGAGGAGAGGACAATCATTTCAACAGGGCCCTGAGCTCAAACCCTACCACCTGGTGCTGGGAAAAACCTAATTCCTAGAATCAACAACCCAGAAATGAACCCACAGACCTATAGTCACCTAATCTTCAATAAGGGAGCTAAAAAAAATAGAATGGAAGAACGACAATCTCTTCAGAAAATGGTGCTGGCAAAATTGGTTAATCACCTATAGAAAACTAAAGCTAGATCCATGTATATATCACCCTGCACCAGAATCAACTCCAAATGGATCAAAGACCTTGGAGTCAAAGCAGACACCCTGAAAACATTACAGGAAGGAATAGGAGAAACCCTAGGTCTCCTTGGCATAGGCCAAAATTTTCTTAATAGAGACCCAGAAACACAACAAATCAAAGAAAAGTTGGACAAATGGGATTGCATGAAACTGCAGAGCTTCTGCGTGGCAAAGGACATAGCTAGCAAGATCAATAGAAAGCCCACGGATTGGGAGATCTTCACTAGCCATACAACGGACAAGGTTCTCATATCTAAAATATACCTGGAACTCAAAAATTAAATCCTTCAACAACAAATCCTCAAAGAAACAACTGCCCAATTAATAAGTGGGCTAAAGACTTAAAGAGAAACTTCTCTGAGGAAGAAATAAGAATGGCCAATAGACATATGAAGAAATGCTCAACCTCGGGCTGGGAAGGTGGCTCAGTGGTAGAGCGCTTGCCTTGCATGCATGAGGCCCTGGGTTCGATTCCTCAGCACCACATAAGCAGGAAAAAAAAAAAGGCCAGAAGTGGCGCTGTGGCTCAAGTGGTACAGCACTAGCCTTGAGCTGAAGAGCTGAGGGATAGTGCCCAGGCCCAGAGTTCAGGCCCCACAACTGGACCAAAAAAACAAAAACAAAAACAAAAAAACGAAATGCTCAACCTCTCTAGCCATAAAAGAAATTCAAATCAAAACAACATTGAGATTCCACTTCACCCCAGTTAGAATGGCTATAATCAGGAAATCTAATAACAACAGATGCTGGAGGGGATGTGGCCAGAAGGGAACCCTACTGCATTGTTGGTGGGAATGTAAACTTGTTCAACCACTTTGGAAAGCAGTATGGAGGTTCCTCAAAAGACTCCACATAGAGCTCCCCTATGACCCAGCAATCCCACTTTGGGGCATTTACCCAACTGAACACAAACAAGACCATACTAAAGCTAGAGCACAACTATGTTTATTGCAGCATTATTTACCATAGCTAAGATATGGAACCAACCCAGATGACCCTCAGTAGATGAATGGATCAAGAAAATGTGGTATATATACACAATGGAATTCTATGCTTCCACCAGAATGAATGGCATTGCTCCATTTGCTAGGAAATGGAAAGACTTGGAAAAAATTATATTAACTGAAGTAAGCCAGGCCCAAAGAAACATAGGTCCTATGGTTTCCCTTATTTGCAATAACTAATATATGTCTGGGACAAGCAGAAAATGTCAAAAGCTATGTACATATGACCGTAAAAGATGATGTTAAGCGAAATGAACCCCAAGATAGGGACACAAGTCATTTTTTCTTTCTTGATATTGTTCCTAACGTACTTAAAATGTACCATGTGATTTTTTTTTTGTTTCTTTGTATGTTACTCCCCCATGGTATAACGCATTTTCACTGTATTTGATGTCAGTGCTCTGCATCTTGTGTATATACACTTTTCTAATTTGGGGAGGGGAAGGAAAAAAACAAAATGCTTAAATAGGGATACAGGTTCACCCATTGTAACAATGAGATACACAAGACACTATGTTGAAAAATGAACTTTACAATTTGGTGGGAGTGGGAGTGTAGTTGTGGAGGTGGGAGAGAAGGGAGGATAGGGGAAAAATAAAGGAGGAGGTAACAATGCTTGATAGGAAATGTATTCATTACCTTGCTCATTTAACTGTAACCCCTCTGTACAGTATATTTTTACAATAAAAAATGTATAAAAAACTGAATTGCTACAGTGTGAAAGAATGAAAATTAATTCAAATTTCTTAACCTAAGAATAAAAACTGTAAATCTCTTTAGCAGACAACATAAGGGGAAAGCTACATGACACTGAATTTGACAATAATGTATTAGATCTGATGTCAAAATCGGAGACAGCCTGACTGGGTGACTCACACCTGTAATTCCAGCACTCTAGAGGCTGAGGAGGACTGCACGTCCAAGGTTACACTCAGCTACACCGAGAGAAATAGTAACTGGCGTAGGTAATGTCCAGCCGTCCTGCTCTGTAAGGCCTCTGAAATCATTTAGCACAGGGACAGAAACAAATGGTTCTTAAACACCTCTTACTGACGACTTCAGGCTGTGTGCCTACACTGATAATTTTGTATGGCCCATGAATGATATTTATAATATCTAAATAGTCATTGGCAGAAAAAAAAAAAGTTCTGTGCCCATGAAGGGAAAAACGAAAAGGCTACAGTATTTTCACAATGATAATAATAGGGAAAAAAAAGAAAATAGATCAATTGGAACTCATCCAACAGTTTAAAATTCTGCATATTTAAGAATATAAGCAATAGAATGGAAGGGAAAGAAGAAACTCAGGAGAAAAATATTTAAAATCAAATATTTGATTTGATAAGGAGTTAATATCCAGAATATATGAAGAACTCCTCCAGCTCAACAACAAAACCAAACAACCCAATTAAAAATTAGGTCAAGGACCCAAGCATTGTGGCACACACCAATACTCTCAACATTTTGGAGAAAAACCTAGGTTATCCAAGCCAGTGAGTTCCAAACCATATCTCAGAAATTCCTCTTAAGCCAGGTGCCAGTGGCTCATGCCTGTAATCTTAGCTACTCAATAGGCCGAAATCTGAGGATCCTGGCAGGAATTAACCATTGAAAAGTTATAAGTGAAGCTATGATTCAAGTAGAAGAGTACCAGCCTTAAAGGGATAGTACTTAAGCCCCAGTTCTGGGTTCAAGCCCCAGTACTGGGACAAAAAATATTTCCTCTTAAGATGTTCATCTAAATTGTTAATAACCAATAAACACATGAACCGGATGTTCAACATCATCAATCATGATGGAAATGCAAACCAAAACTATAATCAGACACCACCTCACCCCAGTAACTTGGCTACATGGGAGGAAAAAAAAAAAAA